TGGATCTTGTCAAACACACTCACACACTGTTGATGTCTTTAAGAGGAGGCTGCTGAGTGTCTCTGTGTGGTGAGATTACTGCAGCCTTTCCTCTGCATCTCAGAGATTAGCTAAAAGAAGAGAGAGTTGGCTTAACCATCACAAAGTACTCATTCGATACAGAAGATTACAAAGTAAGAACTGTGTGCTTAATCTCAAAGTAATTAACAAATTCCAATTATGGAAATGTCTCTCGCAGGCTGCAGAATGTTGCTACTGCCTTCACTCTGCTGCCTCAAACTGCTTTTGAACAAAGCCACAAATCAGGTGGGCTGAACTGTGAGAGCGATCTGAACACAAGCATTTATACAAATTAATGTGGGAAGTTAAAATACACATTACAATCATTTAATACTGTAATTTACTACCACCTATGTACAAAGACTGTATAAACATGGACCTTGTTTCAGTGCCGTCACCCATTGGCTACTGAAGGGCAGTTTTGAAGACCACTGATTGTGTACCTGTAAAGACATGTAACGTTCAGACCAAAAAAACAGGTATGCCGGTATTTATTCCTGCTGTCAAAATGGACATTTTAACATTGGTGTGTGTGACTTCCATGGCTTTTGCAGCCAGCCTCAAGTGGACATTGACATGATATAAGGTAAAAATGTACAAATTCCTTACAGCAGAGAAGCTGAAGTCAGACAATGGTTGGCTATTATGACTAAAATAAAACGTAATCTAATACAATATTCATAGTTTCACTCCTAATTAGAAAAATGGTTTTCCACAAGTAAAAGAAGCATTGACATGTAAGTAAATCATACATATGTGCTCTTCATATGTCCAATTCAAGCTACTTAAACTGTTACAAAAAAAAATCACATATGTGGCTTTTCCTTTGTTGTCTTTTATATTTGTATCAATAATCTTTTTATTGAATCATTTTTAATGTCCATTCATCATTTTTAATGTTTAATGTGCCGGGTAGTGTCCTGGCTTCAAAGGCATTCTAAATTCTGTCCATATACAGTGTAAGTGTTGTGTATTAACATTGTCTTATTGATTTTAGATGTCGTTATCTATAAAAAAAAAATTGGGATTCTGATGGTTAAAAGCTGTAAAAAGATATTGAAAATCTCTAAAATGAAAGATAACATCACAACTTGTCATATCAGTGACCGCCACATTAAAGGTCCTGAGATTAGAATCCTCTCCTGTGGCTTAAGTAACAGAAATGGGACACTGAAACGAGACTAAATGTCAGGACGGACGTGACAAAGACGACAAATACGTCCTGACAGTAGCTGCTGAGGAGACCTCATCTCCTCTGTCAGGAAGGACGAGGAACAGTTTAAAAATGTATACTGCAATGGACAAAACCGCGAGCAACATGAATCACTGAACTGCTTAAATATATATTTTAATACAATGCTAAAAATCCCTGACATAAATACTGAGAAAAGCAAAGTGCTGCACTGCTATTTGTGAGTGAAATGTATCTATTTGTGTTTTTAATCCTATTCCAATCATGACTAAGAGATGTGAGTTTCTGTTCTGAACAAAGACTTTACTCATCTTGACCTGGCACCTAAAGGAGATTGACGTCCTACAGGAGCCTGATTGATCCAAAGGCAAGTGCTGCTGTGGCCTGCTAGTCAGGCTCATTTCATCAGGAGTAACTGGCTTCCTGAAAACTGATGGCTAATCCACAGCGGCTCCCAGATCATCAAAACACCCTAAAATTTGTGGCAAAGAAAGTTTTATTTTTCACTTCACAAAATGATTTTACCATTCAGCTGCCTTCTTTCTGTCTCTGAAACTTGAAAGTAAAAAATGTGTGCAGGTTGAGAAGAATTATTAACATCATTAAAACGCACACACAATCAAAGAAGGGATGAACAATCAGTATTACATTCGCATTAGTAATACTTGTCATCTCCCTCCATCTACCAGGTCTACTTTCACTGTTCCACTCCCGTCCTGTTTCTACTTTATGCTTAATCATTCATACATACAGTGTTGCTGTTTTATTGATCAAAGGTCAACCTGATTTAACACGCAGAGATCTACAATACATATCTGCAACTGTAAGCAACAAACATCGCACTCCTCGCATGATTAAGGACGGAGGGCAGAGGTGGCAAGTCCTCCTGAAATTCAGTAGAAATTTTTCCGGAGTGGTCAGGTGAAAACGGCTTAAGTAATACTTAAAAATAGTTTAAACCTCGGCTAACTTCATTAAACATGTAAATACAGGAAATTATAATACATTTGACTGTTAACATAATGCAAACAGGTGCTGCTAAAAAGGTTTTTGTTTTGCTCACACATACAGGAATAAATCAGAAAAGAGATAAGAAGTGCCAATTTGTCCAAAAGGGATGCCAAAACAACATCAAATACTGAAAGTTTCTCATGAGAGCTCAAACCAAATGATTCAAATACGCAAACAGGCCGAAAACCCTTGGGACTTCAGATTTAGAAATAACCTCTTGCCCTTTAATCCTTTAGGGTAGAAAAGGATTTCACAGATCTAAAATGTTGCACCAAATGTAAAAAAAAAAAAAAAAAAAATTCCCATCCAGAAACCCTCAGGAGGAGAACTAGGACGCTGAATCAAAACATGATTAGAGAAACCAGCGAGACTCTGAGGAATATTATATTTATCTGCTACACATCCGTACAACATCGGTCAGTAGGCTTGTAAAATTCTAATAAATTTAATTTTGTGGGCCTTTGGGGGGACTGATGTTGTTTAAAAGTGTTGTAAGCAGCCAATTGATCTCTGACCTCTTTAGCAAACTGCATGTGTTTGTACTTGTCCTTGTTATGTGCTGCTGCTCTCTCTCTATAGCATCAATAAAGGTGAAGATTTTAGTTTTTTTGATGACAACAAAGTGCTTAAAATGTTCAGCTTTGGAGACTCTTTTTCTCTACAAAGTAGGACACTGAACTGGACCACTGAAACACAAACAGAGGAGAAAATGCCAGACTTGTCAAATTGAATCTAACGTCAAAGGTTCAACGTTTCACTACCTCCAACAGTTCACCGGAATTATCATTTGTCCCAACATTACACCGCAACCTTAATCAATACACAACTATGTACAAAGATGTCTCCTCCATAAAGCAGCAGTGGATGTGCAGATGCTACCAGGTTGCCTGAGACGGCATTTTCCCCCATCTCCTCCAATCACGTGCCTCCTTCTTGAGGAAGCGTGGGGATGCAGATGAGGAGAGAGAAGGGGGCTCTAAAAATAGCATCATTTCTTTCCTTTTTTCTCCTCCACAGCAAAAAAAAAAAGGAAGCAGAGAGGGAAGCAGGGAGGATGCTAGGGATGTTTGTTGGTGCTTCAGTGTGCAGGTGAAGCCAGGGCAATTGGATTACAAAAAAACTAAAAACGTCCCTACGGTCATTGTCTTTAAATTTGTTTGTATTTAAATATTTTCTTTTTATCTTTAACATTCTTTTTTGTAAATGTGTAGATGTCAATACTTTTAAATTTTTCAAAATAATTACACTTCAATAAAGCTTGTTATTGAAGATTTTGAAATATAGTGATATAAAAAAGACAGTTGCAATTATTATAATAGTTTTGGCATAATAATTAACAATAGTTTATGTTTTTGAGCACAGAAAGCCTCTGAAGCAGGTTTAACCTCTCGTGTTACAATAAGAATCTTAAATAAAAAGAATGAATTGCTTATGGTAAAAGCATCTGAACTTAAATGCATTTTCTGAAACTGCGCTCACAGAATCCCCCGAAGACTCATAACCCTTACTAATATATGAAACGTAATATAAAAATATTGATCCAACATATGACACTGTGGCAGTGTTTGTCCCAGAAAATATAGATGTGTATATTCCCGAGAGAAACAGCAGATGCGCCACTCGTGCCTTCAGGTCTGACTGTTGGTGACAGAAGTGTAAATGCAGCTCACATTTAAGACCCTTTACTGCACAAAATGACATGTTTGTCGTTCAAACCAAACACTGACACATCAGAATTACATCATCAGTCTATAGCTCTTTTGATGGCCGTGTTCCACCCTTTAAAAATGAAATCACCTGTCCTAAGTAAACAGTCTCAAATGCTGAATATAAATGTAGAACATAACGTTGTAGAACAATTTTACACCGAAATGTAGAAATTCTAAAAGTCAGGGACCAAAAAGCTGCAGTTCTTGCTGTCAGCATCCATTCATATAACATGCAGTCACTGGGAGCATTTATGTTATCTGAATATATGCAGTATAAGACAAGATACTATTTTTTGTCTCCATATGAGTTTACAGTTTTCTGTCTTATTCATACATCATTATTATTTCTGTTTTCTGAGATGTGCTGTTGCAGTATAGGGAAGCACACACATGCTTAAATTTAAATTCATTAAAAATGTCTGATTGGTTTAAGACTAAACGTTTTACTCATATGTCAAGACCACAACATAGGTTAAGCTCTATAGCTCAACGTTATAATACAGGCATACTTATTATGAGGACTCGCAGTGAGTCACTGGTACTCAGTAGTGACCTCTCAGGTTATTTCACGGTAATATTCATTAATATATAGTTAGATATTGACATCCTATTTTTTGTGTAATTTCAACTGCATGTATAATTAATCTGTTGAAGCCTGATCTGGTGTTTTTTTTAAGCTATCGTTTCTGCCTCAGACACCAATTTCCCTGATTCAAACCATCGGACGGTGTGAAACGCCTTTTCTGCAGAACAGGCCGAGAGTGAAACCAGACATCCACAAAACCAAAAAACCCTTCACATCCACCCACACAGATAAGACGAATAAATATACATTTCGTGCGCCTATGGCGGTTTTCACAAAGAAAACAGCTGTTCTAAAGCAAGCATCTAATGCCAAAGCCTCTATCATATAGATTCAATTTCTTGATATTGAAACATTTACGCTCATTCACGAATGACAAAATAAGACAGCACAAGCAAATGAACGAGGCGTTTATCCCATTAGACAAATAAAGACAAAATCCCACCTTTATAGATTTCAATCCTGCTGCTATCCACCGCGTCCAGCACCCGCAGAAACAACCACACCTGTGAAGTCAGACAGGTTATGCGACACAGCATCCGGCGATCAACTTCAAAGTAAAAGTCGCCAGAAACGACAAGTGAATTTTTTTGTAGGCGCTCAGACTGCGACAATAAAATCTTTGTATGAATGCAACAACAGTAAAAATCATCTGTGTTTTACAGTCTCCAAGTTAATGTGAGCGTGTGCCACAAAAACAAAGCTGTTTGATTGTTAATGGACAAATAGGCTACGATACTACCGTTCAAGGATGTGGTGTATTTCTGCTACCCTGTAAAACCTCTAGTTCCTCCACTATCATAGATGCACCTCACACTCACACAGTTCAAATGAGGATTATGGGCGTGTTATGTTATGTTATGTTATGTTATGTTATGTTATGTTATGTTATGTTATGTTATGTCATGTCATGTCATGTCATGTCATGTCATGTCATGTTATGTTATGTTATGTTGTTATGTTATGTTATGTTATGTTATGTCATGTCATGTCATGTTATGTTGTTATGTTATGTTATGTTATGTTATGTTATGTTGTTATGTTATGTTATGTTATGTTATGTTATGTTGTTATGTTATGTTATGTCATGTCATGTCATGTCATGTCATGTCATGTCATGTCATGTCATGTCATGTCATGTTATGTTGTTATGTTATGTCATGTCATGTCATGTCATGTCATGTTATGTTATGTTGTTATGTTATGTTATGTTTTGTTATGTTATGTTATGTTATGTTATGTTTTGTTATGTTATGTTATGTTATGTTATGTTGTTATGTTATGTTATGTTATGTTATGTTATGTTATGTTGTTATGTTATGTTATGTCATGTCATGTCATGTCATGTCATGTCATGTCATGTTATGTTATGTTATGTTGTTATGTTATGTCATGTCATGTCATGTCATGTCATGTCATGTTATGTTATGTTATGTTATGTTATGTCATGTCATGTCATGTCATGTCATGTCATGTCATGTCTTGTCATGTCATGTCATGTCTTGTCATGTCATGTCATGTCATGTCATGTTGTTATGTCATGTCATGTCATGTCATGTCATGTCATGTCATGTCATGTCATGTCATGTCATGTTATGTTTTGTTATGTCATGTCATGTCATGTCATGTCATGTCATGTCATGTCATGTCTTGTTATGTTATGTTATGTCATGTCATGTCATGTCATGTCATGTCATGTCATGTCATGTCTTGTTATGTTATGTTATGTTATGTTATGTTATGTTATGTTGTTATGTTATGTCATGTCATGTTATGTTATGTTGTTATGTTATGTTATGTTATGTCATGTCATGTCATGTTATGTTGTTATGTTATGTTATGTTATGTTATGTTATGTTATGTTATGTCATGTCATGTCATGTTATGTTGTTATGTTATGTTATGTTATGTTTTGCTCGGCTGATGTTGCCTTCAAGCCACTCATGCTAAAAGCATTTTGTGCCCTTCTTTTCAATTAGATACAAATCTCTCTTTTGTTGTTTTCAGGCTCAACAGGCACAGACCCATGTGGCATCATCTGTGTTACATATCTGAGCAGGAGCTCGTAAACGATTTTATTTTGAAGGTGAAACAATTTTCTGGAACATCTGTAACTCCGCCATCTTTACGCAGCGTGGACCTCAAATGAATGGCAGGTGGGCGGGATTGACAAAGATTGACAACCCACTTGACGAATACAAAACCACACCATGACGACCGTCCTGAAACACCCCTCCTCAACTTCTCAACCTTTCGTTTATTATTGATGGCCGCTGCTGGAAGGATTCAATTATTGATTAGGAGGTCAGCAGTAACCACTATTGCCATTTCCACTGATCACTAACACACACCTTATAATCACTATTGTAAAAATGTCCCAACAAAAACACATCAATAAAGCCGAGGTAAATAAATAATTTAAATTTAATGCAACACAGTGTTAGATGGATAGACTCGTTTTCGTATTAAAAAATATTGAGATATGTGCAAAAGTGTAACACTTAGTTAAACACATTTAAGATTATTTAAAAAAATTGAATAATCCAGGAAAGTGGTCTATTTTTTTCTACCTGATGAAAATCTTTAATGTGATCTCATATGTTTGATATAGGTGGTTGAATAGAAAAATAGAGTTCACTCAGAAACAGTTTTTTTTTTTGTATTTTAATGTTGTGCCACTGTAATCTAGGGTTATATTGTTTTACATTCTGATTTAGCCTCTACACACAAAAAAACCCACATGAGCTTCAAAGTGAGACAATTTCTTAATATCCAGAGTTAGATCCAAACGGCAGCTGGATTTGGTCAAGGCTTTTATTACTTTTTACTTTGACTTTGAATTCATTTTCATATAGCCTACAACTATTAAAGTGCTGCTAGTGATACTCGTAAAAAGTTGCTTCAATGATTTTATAATTGATTTATATTCATATAGCCTATACAACAGGTTTTTTTAAAAAGATCTAAGACACGTTTGTGAATGCCCATTACTTTAAATTTGATGTCCTGCTATACTATTCCACAACAGATGATGTCAGCATTTAGCTTTAGATTCCTCTGTGGACCTGATCCCTGCTACTTATCCTTAAAGCTGCTGTCTGAGTGCGTCCTTGGTGCTTTATTACCAACTCAGGGAGGGTTTTCGAGGTGTTATATTCCTTAAGCTTAACTTGGATTTGAGAGTCCTTATGCACGTTGATAGGTGTATTACTGTAACGTCTGAGTATAAATCAAAAGGTCAAACAATGGACAAAAGCAAACAACATGCAAGCAAGCACAGATGTGACAGGTGCATACAATATTAGGGAATGCCAAGAAAAAGTTAAACAATAACTATTGAGGATAGCTAAGCCAAATGAGGGTGCAATGTCATCAAGAAAGCCATCGAGGAGCAGTGAGTTAATGCGTCCCATGGGATTAGATATTCTGAAACAGTTACTGTGCAAACAGAGCCCACAGACACAAACTCTAAAGCCTTATCAAATTACAAACAGCAACATGAAAACTTTTTTATAACGTTGGAAAGAATCAAACATAAAACAAAGCAAATGAAAATGTTCATTTGCCTTAAATAAAAACTACAGTCAGTGAGCACAGACTCACTATCGAGCCACAGGCAGACATTTGCCTCCCCCCCCTAAAAGAGGACAGACTCTACTCAGGTAAAAACAGAGCTGCACTTTATAACAATCTGTGTAGGTGTAGGCCTATATCAATCTCTCCTGCAGCCTGCAGACAAACCCTTCTCCCCTGTTCTGACACCTGTACCTCCACAGCAGCAGGCGGCGCTGACGTTCAATTGACTTTCTGTAAAACCGGTGTAGTGTCAAAGTTAAACATGTTCGCACAGTGTTTCCTTTGCTGCAACAACCGCGTTTCTCTTCTGTAATTGTGATAAGGAATCAGGTAAGTTATGTCAAAATATTTATAGCTCTATCTGAGACAGGAAAGTTTGGTTATGTTGGCGAAAGCTGTGATAGCCGGTTGGGGTCAGGTTAGGGTAAAGGGAAGTAGCACTGACATCGGTTTGTTGGATGTGTCATTGAATGGAGGGATCATTTATTTTCTTCTGTTTATTAAATGCACAGTAACCAGTTGACTCTAGCTTCATAGAGGCAGTCGAGCAATTAATCCTGACTGTAAAATCTCCAGGCTTTCGGCTACATAAGCGTCGTGTTCCCGGTGTTATGCCCAGAAATGCGTCCCAAGAAATTGCGTGCACCTCGCGGAAGTGCGGTACAAATCTGTGATGACAAACTGTGTGAAGTTAATGCTCAATAAACGTTAAGTCTCCTTATTGTTTCGCAGACTCGGTAAATTATGCATTTTCATTCGCCTGGCAAACAGTGTTTCACTCTGAAGTGTCTGTAGAAGCGGGGTTGGGCAACTGGCGGCCCGGGGGCCACACGCGGCCCCCCCATCAACCCTCAACGTGGCCCTCAGGTCAATTTTTACACATCAATGAATTGGAAACATGAAGAAAAAGTGACAAAATCTGCCATGAAATCATGAAAACCAGAAATATGTCCATGATAATATTTGATCACTGGTATATGTTGAGATAAATTTGAGACATAATCGACTGTAATCGTTTTTGTATCCTACAATTTGGCCCCCTGGCAGTGGGAGTTTAATGAAGGTGGCCCCTTGCTGTGACCAAAGTTGCCCATCCCTGCTGTAGAGTAAATTTAAGGGTGGATATAACACGATCACTCTTTAAACTGTAACACCGGAGCTAGTGAGTGTATATGCAGCAGCATGACCCGGGATGAATTAATAACAACATTTTCTGTCTGAAAACCAGAGTAACTAAATTAACTACTGGTAAATAAGGTGTAATTACTCATTCCACAATGATCAGATGTAGTATAATGCCAAGCACCCTTTAGTTGTATTGACCAGGTCAGCTGGGATGACATGTTTTTTACAAGAACACAAAAAGAGTCTTCTTTGTTAAAATCTCTGAATGAAAAAGGAATCATACAAATTTTACAACTAGGGTTTAAATGTCACCCAGTGTTTGTAATGTAACTTTTGTGACTAATTTCTTCTGTTTCCTATTGAAAAGTTATTTTATTACTGTTACCGTCTATGACTCTGTCTCTCATTAAGTGTCTGATAAGTATTCAGCCATCCTGTATCATACACAGAGCAACTCTGAAGCTAAAGACCCAGCCTTAAAATGTACAGTGAATTACATACAGCTATTACATACTGCTATTTTTGTCCTACAGATGACAGTACTCTCACTTGCAGTCCAAACATCATCATGCTTCCACCAGGGAGTAAAGAGTTTATGGTCCGGATACGGTTCTTCTGGCGTCCATTGTTCCAAGGCAGGAACCTACTGCTCACAAACACACTGAGTGCAGGAGGCATGCTGGCACTGGCAGACGTGCTGCAGCAGAGCCGGGAGACCCGCAAGGAGCCAGGCAGAGTCCGCAACTGGAAAAGGACAGGTGAGGAGGAGAGAGAAAGGAAGTAGAGACAGAGGAATGTCATTGTCAAGGTGCTGGTGCCTAGTCCGACTCAGGACTGAAGAACTGGTCTCAGGTCCAGTGAAGTTAGATGTAGGGAGGCATGCAGTGAATACTGAGCTGTTGTAAATGTAAATGTTTCTGTAAGAATCAGCACCATCTGCTGTAAAGAGAAACACATATCACAGCTCTTACAGTGAAGCAGTTAAGGTCACAGGACCTCAATGCAAGTGAGTTAATTATAGAATAAAATCCTTTATTTTCATTTAACAGTGTAAACGGATAAACTAAGTAACTATTCACCTGTGGTGCCAAAGCACTCATTGGCTTTACATGCCTCTCAATGTCCAAATGGAAATGTTATGTTTTGAACAATAGGATTTAGCATGATTCAACATTTGCTCAGACACTTGTCTTTTGGTAAGGAGCATTTAAGAGTCTCATTTGAGATATAGAGTAATATATATATATATATATATATATATATATATATATTTTTAATAAAGTTTTTTTTTTTTTTGTGATTTGCACCTTTGTGTGATAGTACCACTGAAGTGAGACAGGACATGTTGGGAGGAGAGAGTGGGGGAGGACATGCAGCATAGGGCCGAGTTCAGATTTGAACCCACGGCCTCTGCAACGAGGACTATAGCCTCTGGAGTTTAAAGAAGTGAATCTGTACAGAATAGAGCTGTAATCAGAGGACATAAAAGTGTTACAATCGGAATCAGAATCGTTTTTTTAATGCCAAGTACATTTACACATACAAGGAATTTGTCTTGGTGTATTGGTGCTGAAACAGTTAATGGAAATAAAGCAAAAATAACAAGAACTTAAATAATAAAATATTAAAGCAATTACAATATATAATATTCAATTTAAAAAGAAACACAAATTGTGCAATGAAGGATCTGTACAGTTGACAATGAAGCAAATCTTACAGTGTATATAATAATAATATATATAATAATAAATATATATATATATATATATATATATATATATACAGTATATAGTGAATCAACACAAAGATTCAGTGGTTAGGTACAAAACAAAGTACAAACATCTAATGAAATAAGTAAAATAATTATAGAGGTGAGCAAGGTGCTGCTGACCAATATGTTCCAGTAGAATTCAAAAAATAATTATTTAGTATTTTAAAAGGATTTGTGCATGTTTCTTTTTTTTAAATGACGGGCTCATTAGTGTTCATTCTTTTTCCTCAAAGGTCACATGTTTCTGGTTGGCTGCTCCCTGGGTCCAATGATGCACTACTGGTACGGTTGGCTGGACAGAGTATATGTGGGCAACGCTCTGAAAACAGTCGGAAAGAAAGTGATGGTGGACCAGCTGATCGCCTCACCAACAATGGCGTTATGGTATTTTGTGGGTGAGAAGGATTTCATAATGTATTGTTAGTAAGAAGCCTGTTTTCTCCTACCATCGCTTAACACATTCACCTCTGAACTTCTGTCAGTGTGCTCGTTCAGAAGCAGTTTCTTGATGACACACACACACATAAGACTAGTGACGTGTCTAAAGAGTCAAAGGTCGAACTAAAAGACGTAATGGGTTAAGACAACAGACATCAGTTATATTCTAAGGGTCTGGCACTCCTCCAGCCTCTGACCTTATCTGAAGTTGTTTTTTATGGAACACACTTATTAGCACATCTGACAGACAGCTCTGTTTATTGCAGGTATGGATGTCATGGAGGGACACACTTTACCTGAGGCGTGGGCGGAGTTTAAAGACAAGTTCTGGGAACTCTATAAGGCAAGTACACGTCTGTCAAACTGTGACCTGAAGATCAGTGCACATGTACTCACTTTGTTACACACTATTATCCATTCATGTTCTGCTCATTCATCATTCTACCCGCGGACTACCGGTAAAGGTGGAGGGCTGGCGTCCGTTTTTAAATCCAGCTTCCACTGTCGTCAAACTCCGTGTAGCATCTTCTCCAGCTTTGAGCTGCAACTTTTTGAATTACATTTAATGTAGACGCGCGGAGAGAAAATGGAAAAAGGACAAACTTCATGTCTCCTTGGGGATTTAAATAGATTGTTTATCCGAATACCAGAGAGCCGTTAAATCTGCAAAAACACTTTTTATTTCCAATGTAGTTTCCAATAACAGCCATAGGCCCCAAGTCCTTTTTGACACTTTTAACCATCTTTTAAATCCATGTAACTCTCCTTGTGTTGTGCCATCACCCACTCTATACGAAAAAGTTCTTGCATTTTTTATTGATAAAGTTTCTGCCATCAGGTCTCCACCTTCTCCCTCCATCTCAGATCCAGCTGTGTCTCCTCCATGCTCAGCTGTCTTTGAGCAGTTTGAGCCGGTGTCACTTTCTGTGTTATCTAAGGTGGTCCAACAAATGAGACCTTCACAATACCCTTTAGACCGTATTCCTCCCAGACTACTGAAAGACGTTTTTAACACTGTTTGGTCATTCATTTTAACTTTGATAAATACCTTCTTGCCTCAGGCTGTGTTCCAACTGCTTTTAAACATGCTGTAGTACAGCCTCTTATCAAAAAACATAACCTTGACCCTTCTGTTCTCTCCAGCTTTAGACCCATTTCTAAGCTTCCTTTCCTGTCCAAAGTTTTAGAGAAAGTGGTTTTAGAGCAGCTTAAGTTGCACCTTGTTCTTAATGGCATTTCAGAAAAGTTTCAGTCTGGTTTTAAATCACGCCACAGCACTGAAACTGCACTTTTAAGAGTCTTTAATGATCTTCTTTTAACTGTTGATTCTTGGAACTCTGCTGTGCTGGTGCTGTTAGATTTGACTGCTGCCTTCAACACTGTTGATCACCAGATTCTTTTATCTCTCCTCGAACTGTGTGTTGGCATTAAAGGTGATGTCCTAAATTGGTTTAGATCATACCTCACAGAGAGGACCTTTTCTGTTCATTTAGGCCATTACTCCTCAGCTGCGGCCCCACTAGCCTGTGGGGTCCCTCAAGGCTCCATTTTAGGCCCCATTCTTTTTTCTTTATATTTGCTTCCCCTGGGGTCCATATTTAAAAAGTACAACATTTCTTTCCATTGTTTTGCAGATGACTTGCAAGTCTACCTACCCTTAAAAACTAATAAAGAATCCTGGAATGACATGCTTAACTGTTTGAAAGATGTCAAATCCTGGATGGAACTAAACTTCCTGACTCTAAACAAAGACAAAACAGAAATAATTGTGTTTGACAAATCTGAACTCCTGGATGAGGTTGATAGTGTTCTTGGTCCCCTAGCCTCCTACAGCCGCCCTTCTGTAAAAATCTGGGAGTTATTTTTGACAGCTGTTTTAAATTTAACAAACAGATCAGCTCAGTTGTGAAGACAAGCTTTTTTTCAAGTGCGTCTCCTGGCAAAGGTAAAGGCCTATCTCTATTGTAATTCATTGTATTTTGGGGTTGACCAGTGTTTGCTTCGCTGCCTGCAGCTGGTTCAAAACGCAGCAGCACGTCTTCTGACAAGGAAGAGATGCTATGATCAATCAATCAATCAAACTTTATTTATATAGCACCTTTCAGACAAATTAAATTGCAGTTCAAAGTGCTTAACAAGAGTGCAGAAAAGTTATTGACAAAAAGTAGTTTATAAAATCATTGAGAGACCAATGCACACCAATAAGAATTAAAAATAAAATATATGTATAAAAATAAAATACAATAAAATAAAATACGACACATAAAAGCAACAAGATATTAAAATAAATATATAAGAGGAAAATATTTAAAATTATAGTAGGATAAAAAGACAGTAATACAGTAATGTTAAGATTTGAATTGATATAAAACACTATATAAAAGCCAGACTGAATAAATGAGTTTTAAGACTGCGTTTAAAAATCTCGATATTCTGGGCTCCTCTCAGACCCTCAGGAAGGTCGTTCCACAGTCTCGGAGCGTAACAGCTGAAAGCAGCATCGCCAAAGGTTTTTGTCCTGCTCTGTGGAACAACTAAGAGAGAGGAACTGGAGGATCTGAGGGGCCGTACTGGTTCATAAGCTAAAATCATATCTGATAGGTAGTCTGGTGCAAGGCCATGTAATGCTTTATAAACTAATAAAATAATTTTAAAATCAACACGAAAACTAACAGGCAGCCAGTGTAAAGATTTTAAAACAGGTGTGATGTGTGCTCTCCTTCTGGTCTTTGTCAGTACTCGTGCGGCAGAGTTTTGTAGTAGCTGAAGCCGATTTGTTGTGTTTTTTGGAAGACCAGAAAGGAGAGCGTTAGAATAGTCCAGCCTGCTAGTAATAAAGCGTGCATTAGTCTCTCTGTTTGGCTCAGATGATCACATCACACCTGTTCTGGCTTCCCTTCACTGGCTTCCTGTTGGTTATAGGATCCAGTTTAAGATTTTATTATTTGTTATTAAATCCCTTAATGAGCTGGCACCAGAATATGTGTCCGAGTTGTTGCACCTTCATGCTCCAGTCAGAGCGATGCGGTCAACACACCAGATGCTCTTGGATGTTCCAAGGTGCAGGCTAAAAACCCGAGGTGACAGAGCTTTTGCTGTGGCTGCTCCCAATCTGTGGAAGAGTTTACCTGTTAATATAAGAACTGCTCAGTCCATCGACAACTTCAGATCTTTGCTTAAAACTCACCTCTTTGCTCTGGCTTTTTATACAACTTGAGCTTGACATTTTGAAATTTTATTCATGCTCCTATTTATTGTGTTTTTATTGTGCTTCATTCTATATGTTATTTTACATTGTGTTTTTTACGCTTGTACAGCACTTTGGTCAATCAAGGTTGTTTTAAATGTGCTATAGAAATAAAGATTGATTGATTGATATTATCCAGAGATGAGAAGTTAGCCGGTCAGCTAAGTTGCATATTTAGCTTTAACTTGCACTGAAGTGGACTGAGGTCGCTATTATTGTAGAATTTAGTGCTTTTTAAGGCACAAGGATTCATTCAGCTTTTGAATGTGAATATCAGTCCAAACGTCATTTTGTGTTGCCAAGCTTTGTAATGTAGAAGATAAAGATACTGAAACACATCTTTGTTCTTTTTAGGACGACATCATTCGGTTATTTCCTGTTCCAAGAGCTCAAATGGCTTTTTTTCTCCAATAAAAAATTAAGCAGACAAAACTAGTTAACACTGGGTGTAAATAACACACAGAGGTAAAGACACTACATAGCATTTAGACCAACAACCCAACACATACCAATAGACAGCACATCCCTTTTCACATTTAATCAACACTCCCTGTTTTCCTTACGCTTTACATCTTCCACTTACTAATTCCTTTAAAGGAGGTTTCATATTCCTTTACCCATCCTGGTTTTAATGCATCATCATGACATGTCAGAAATCATCAGGTTACAGTGACAACTCTCTTAAACATCATCAATATTTCTCTTTGCGTTATATTCATGACTTTTCCTGGAGATGTTTGTTTTGCGTAATCTATCCAGGTTTGTTCATGCTAATGTGCGTTGTTCTTTCTAACAGGCGGACTGGTGTGTTTGGCCTGCTGCTCAGATGATCAACTTCTACTTCCTGTCGCCCAAATACCGAGTGTTGTACATGAACTTCATCACCTTAGGGTGGGACACGTACCTGTCCTACCTCAAACACAGAGTAAGTCAGTCACACAGGATTTTAAAGGAACATTCTGTGTTTTATCGTCTTTTATTGGGGAATGTGTGGGTTTTAAAATAACTGATAATATGACCAGATTTCAAGCTATTATCTGGTTGTGAAAAAGACTGACATTGATGTTGTTCTGAGCCACAAAAGCAAACAAGATCATCAGAAACAAGACTGACTATTTCTACCAAGTTATGTTTAATGCCGGAACAGCTGCTGGGGGGGAGATGTCAGGTGAGATGATTAACAGCATGGTATAAAAACGGCCTTAGTTTACATTTTCTACAGCTGTTAAAAACCAGCAGGATGAGATTTTCTGTTAAAATGCTATTAATTACACATATACAGGTCTATATCCGCAAAGAGATAGGAGGTACTGCTTTGCCCACAGGGGGCCTTCAAGTCAACACAAACTGGAAGAATGTCACAAGAGCTTTAAGTTTCTGTGTTTTTAATATAATTAAAATGCAGAATGAAAGTCATTCATTTACAGACACATAGATATAATAGCTCGACTGAGAGCAGCATGTCACCTAAAGCACTGGGTGCTGCCTTGCAGCAGGCTTTTGTAAAGCTGGCCAATCAGAAGAAAGTGTGCCTCTAGGGAGGCTGGACTTAAAGAGACAGCAGATCAAACAACTTGTTTTCCTAAACATAGGATGCAGTGGGCACTGTGTCGCTCTCAAACCATTTATTGTCTATGTGTTGCGCGGTGCACAAGATTATCTGCAGCCGCTGAGCTGAGTGCAAGGTCGCGCTTGCTATTCTTGCACGCTGCGTGGAAGTTAAAATCTTTTCAACTTGGTGTCTCTCTTTCCCAAGCTCTAGTTTAAAAATCATCAGAGAGAGAGTTTGGGCGTACCAGATGTGTTTAAAAAAGCAGCAGAAATGTGCCTCATGCACCTTCTTTGCTAGTCACATTATGGGCTCTTCATATACACACCAAAACTCTCCACTACTCTACTTTCTCATAGTTAAAAATGATGAAGTGGTATTGGTTAAACTGATGTGTATTTTGGTTTCTGTTGTGTCCACAGATTGACAGCCCCCCAACTGCAGAGTCATCAGACAGCAGTGATGTTGATGCACAGCAAGAGGGGCTCCCAGAGTCCAAACCTCTGGAACAGAAATCGTAGAGATGGAGTCGGTGCTTGTTGGTAAAACTCAAGGACAAAGAAGTATCTGCTGGTTTATTTTGTTCATACTGATTGTTTGAGCTTTTTTGTGTGACTGTGTCTGTACTCAGAGGATTTGTGGATGATGAAGTAGAAGTGCTGGAACACTTTGCCTTCATGTCTGTAGAGTTTTAGTGTGTCTCCGTCCAGTGTGTTTGCTTAATTTCTGTTTGAATAATGTGCATTCAGGGATTAAAAGCTGTGTCACTGCCCATAATGATAAACCATCTGCTGGTAGTCATTTCCTTTTTAATACAACCTTGAGTTGCTAACTACTATCATTAACATGATGTTCAACAAACCACTGAATGGACGAATCATTTTAAAAATCTGTTGCCTATTTTGTGTTGGTGCGTCCAAAGATCAGCACTGTGCAAACTGTGACAGGGAGACATTCCTTTCAATCCTGTGCCATTGTTTGGTATCTGGTTTGACATGAAATAATAATAATAGAATAATTATATCATAGTAACCACTATTAGCTTTGCCTTAATATGTAGAAGTTTGCTACAAGTGTTTGAATGCCAAATAATCTTTCTGCTCCTCTGAAATAACACATGATTGTCATTTGTATTACATATAAGTCCTCTATATTTTTATCGTTTCAAACTGAATCCTGACGTGTGTTTACATTTTAATTTGTGACATGCTGCAGATGTGAAGTTGTTTTCAAAATGAAGTGTAACACTAGTGACTGTAATGTAACCTGTTATACTTTATATCTCAAGCAGCTTAGATTCTAAATTATGGCACGTTAGATTATACATTTTATCCTGATGAAAAAAATATAATTCAATGGAGCAATATTTATATTTATCATAGTGCTGCTAATTAATGATGTAATACATTTTACATAAAAATTGTTCAGCAAAAATGTATGCGAGAGTTTTTACATTGAGCAAAGAACTTTAAAAGACGAGCATAAGCTCTATAAGGTCCTTATGGTTTTGTATGATGATTCAAATGTTTTTTTATGTTGAATTTCTCAAATGCATGGCACTTAAAAAAAGAAATGAAATAATTTCAAATGAAATAGTCTAAAAAAAAACAATAAATATGAGAGAGATTGTTTTCAAAGTGTGTGATGACTTTCTTTTATTGTGTTGTAGGAGACATTTAAAGCTGCAGCAGTGTCGTTCTTTGCCATCAATGTGACGACAGGGAGACGCTCTGGAGGCTTTTCTACGGTGTGCCTCAAGGGACAAAATAGCATGTGATTAATGGAGATAAAAAAATGATTGCATTAATTTCAGACCTTAATTAATTGTGATTAACTGGCTCGAACTGAAAGCATCAGATGACTATTTGCAGGGGATCAAACTATGTTAAGAATATGTTTGCTGTGAAGTGGGTGTTTAAGAAGTCTCAATATTTGTGTTTGATAAAATCAGATGAAGATCACTGCAGGTAAAGGACATAAAAAGGCTGTATATAGCATAATGTACTGTAAATAATTTAAAACTATAGTTGTGACACAGTAAATTTAGCTCTCGACATTTCATGACCAACAATCAAACAAGAGCATTAGCTAGAAGATTTACTTTTTCTTATATGCATGTTTTTTTAAAGCCTTAGACTGCAGCCACCAGGGAGGTGTCAGGCAAGTGTTTTAGAGCACACTAAACTGAAGAGCCTTTTTATACATCACGAAGCCGAACAGTGAGAGATGATTGACATTTCAAGTGAAGCAAGACTATTTTTTAGTGTGAGTCCAAAATCACTACTTACACATGATATGAGGACAAGATGTACACCAGAGGTGTTGCTAAGAGGGGAAACATTTTTCACTTTTGCTGTTATTGAAGTGTGTGGCGCTCAGAGTATTGAATCAACATTTCAAAAAACTTTGAAGTTGACTTATTGACTTCAACTTTTTCTGCCAAAAAAGGAGCAGGGAATTACAAAGTAACAGATGTTTAGTGAATTGCCTGAACAGTCTTAGTCCAGAAGTCACTGCACTGTACTGTTAAAAAACTTTAAACGCTGACATTATGGCAAAATCTGCAGAAGGATGTTGCGTTTGCCGACTCCACCACAGGTATCTCCCTTGACACTCCCTGCAGACACCTCTGCAAGAGAGGAGGATATTTGGTTTCTATGGAAACAAAAATACATATTATATTGATAAGTTTGCATGCAAGGAGGAATTAAAGAAGGTTTCACAAGACTGACGTCATGTTTTTGGGGGTTTTAAAAAAAAAAGTATTTGGAATCACACATTCACAGACATTTGTACATATTGTTCATTTCATGGTTAGACAATACAGTGATTTCTTTTCACATTTTTTGTAAATTTATACAGAACAAAATAAATCAAATAGAAAAAAAACAAGAAATAAAACATAAAAATCAAATAAAAAGACAAATTGTAAGACATGGGGTGATTTTCCATAGTTTTGTTTTTACACATAATTAATGGTTCTACCTTAGTGTTTTTACAAATTCATCTGTTGTAGTAGATTGATTGAAATACTTTATCAGGTTTGACACTGTTTATATTTTTTGAACACCATTTAAATTAAAAAAACTTGATTTACAGAGACTGGAATTGTAACATAAAAAAGTTCATATTCAGTCAGACAGAACATACCGTCACATGAGGCAGAGGTACTCTCCTGATAAGTATCAAAACATGACAAACAGCAGATACCTTGAAGATTAGACATGAAGTCAAAGGGTCAAATATCAGGCAGTAATAATAATTTCATGGTATTAAAATGCCACAGAGTGGCAGGATTGGGATTTGCATCAAGCCTAGAGATATTTGGAGATTGGTCACCGTCACAGGCAAAATAGTGTTGAGAGGTTACACAGGCTCACGAGTACAGGTTTTAGTTCCTTATGTGAGTCCTTGCTGCGGGGCAACACAGTCTGCTAGAGGGCAACCAGTCTAGGCAGTGCGTAGGGTGGGAGGTTCTGAAGTACTGAGAGAGCTTTGCAGAGTATTTACTGATCACGTGAGAATAAAAAGGGAGGAGACAGCCTATGTACCTATGACTTGGAGGCAGGTGTCCACTGAACTCTGAGGGTTATTCTTGAAAGTTTTGGACTAGATAGATAGATAGATAGATAGATAGATAGATACTTTATTGATCCAGAGGGAAATTCAAAGCATCCAGTAGCAGGTTACAAAAACATACATGACATGAAACATTTGTTACAAATGAACCACAAAAACACAAAAACCACAAAAACCGACGCCCCCCTCCCATACATGTATATTAACCCGAAAAAAAGATTTAAAGAATACCCTAGATGAATCAAAATTAAACTGTGCAATTAAAAATAGACATAACCCGTGCAGGGATAAAAATATATGTGAAATTTAAATAAGAACCTATAAACAGTTGATGAAAAACTCTGTAATTAGACCTGAATATAAAAAATAAAAATAAAAAGTGTTGACCTTCTGAAGTTGTGTTGTTTATATATGTGCAGCAATGTTTAAAAAGCAGATAGTGCAAAATTATCAAAAAACAGACATTAAATAACAGGCAGTGCAAACATTAAATTAAAGGTGCGATTTAAATAATTGAGGTAATCATTAAAGTGTCCAACTAGAGGCTGACTCTTGGGACAGCTGTGCAGATGGGAAATGGAAAAAGGAAGATTTAGTCCAAGTGTGTGCTTTCCCCCCTGCCATAACCGTGAGGTGTTGTACAGACGTGTGGCCAGGGGGGACAAAAGAGTTCTTGAGTCTGTCAGTGGAGCAGGACTGACTGCAGCCTCAGGTACCCATAGGCCTTGACTACCTCCTCGTGGACCCCCCGCGATGGAAACAGGTTGTAGATGTGGCTTGTTCCTTCAGAAGTCCACCACCATCTCCTTGGTCTTGGAGGTGTTCAGCTGCAGATGGTTTGAACTGCACCACGTCACAAAGTCCCCTACCAGGCTCCTGTACTCCTCCTCCTGTCCATCCCTGACACAACCAACTATCACAGTGTCATCCGAGTATTTCTGCATGTGGCAGAGCCCGGAGTTATACTAAAAGTCAGAGGTATACAGGGTGAACAAGACAGGGGAGAGCACGGTCCCCTGTGGTGCTCTGATGCTGCTGACCACAGTGTCAGATGTGCAGTCCTTCAGTCTGACGTACTGTGGTCTCTCTGTGAGGTAATCCGTGATCCATCTCACCAGGTGCGAGTCCACCCTCATCTCGGTCAGCTTGTCTCTCAGTAGGAGGGGGTGGATGGTATTAAAGGCGCTTGAGAAATCAAAGAACATGATTCTCTCTTTGTGATAGTAGATAGAGGATGGCATCGTCCATGCCTGCCTTCGCCTGGTGAGCAAACTGCAGTGGATCCTGGGGCATGGTGGACCTGGGGTCTGAGGAGATGGAGCAGCAGCCGCTCAAAGGTCTTCATGACACGTCAGTGCAATTGGCCTGAAGTCGCCTGGCTCACTGTTTTTTTTTTTTTCTGGAGGATTTATTAATAGGGAAGTAAATATATTCCTCCCAAGCAGTTTAGCTTACTTGGTGGGTGACTTTGGCAAATGTATCCTTGTTCTTGGTGAGGTTCAGTTCAAAACAGCTTTGTTCCACTTTTACACAAACTCACTGACGACCCCCGTGGTCTTGTACAGAGCCTGAGCCCAAGCAAAGGAGGAGAGTATGATTACCAATGATGCTTCTGCAACCATCTGTATATGGGGTGAATAATTGCTGTGAGAGGAAAAAGCCATGGGGGGAGCTAGTGGATGTGTGCAGGAGGGCCTAACAATGTGCTTTTTTGTTTGTTTTATTTTGTTGTGTATGTTTATTCTAAAACCACTTTGTTAGAGGTGTGGCTGCAATGTCTCTCTCTATCAGTCTTCTCGAAGAGTGCTCATTTATTGGTTGTGTTAAGTAAGCTTTTGTAAATAACCCTGAAGGTCCTTCGCAGGGTCCAAAAGAATGTTCTTGTTGCCAGAGAGCTCCTTTCTCTTGCAGATGTCAGTGCTCTCTCTGAGGTCCAAACAGCATGATTCCTCGGATAGGTAAAGGGCTTATGGTGGGGATAAGGTTCTCCTGTCAGACAATGTTTAAGAGGAGGTACCTGCTGATTACAAACACCCTGACTGGAGGAAGCTTACTGGCACTGGGAGACTGTATGCTGCAGAACTGGGAGAACCAAAAGGAGCCGCACAGAGTCTACGACTGGATGCGGACAGGTGAGGGAGAGAGAAAGGTGCACACCCAGCCAGATGTCAATGTCTGAATAGCTTCTGCAATCCTGGTGCGTGTTGCCTTGCTCCATCTGGGACTGAATTGCTGAAAATGCAGTTTCTGCTTTGTAACACCAGATAATGTATAACTCTTAATAGGTGTTGGAATTAATCATTTCTGCAGAAATAAATTAAATTGAATGATGCTCACAACACCTATAGATGATGTTTAAG